CCGCAATGGACACACTGGACACGGAATCCGACATGCTATCTGATTCGGAATATTTTAAATACGCGGAATCCATCTCAAACAATTTTTTTATATACGAAATATATTTGTTATGATTAAAAGAAAATTTAGTTAGATACAACAGTAAACGTTTACTGGGACGACTGATTAAATATCACAGCGATGTATTATAAGTCAATAAATATTCGTCGAAATTGATTGCTACAGTTACGACGACAATGATTACAAATATTATTTCAAATACCATTATTGAAACTGGCCATCATATATAAATATGTCTTGTCCGATTAATACTATAAGGCACCCTTCATAATTTTGATCTCAATGATCGCGTGTCCGATAATTTTTTGAATTTCCTAATAGTTTTCTAAATAATAATGAAATACTGACGAAAAGTTATAAAAAAAGACGGCGAAGTTCATGACATAATGGATTTTGACAAAATCAATCTATTTTCTTCGTCCTAATTCAAGGGGCAAAAGAATATTAGGACTAGACATTTTCACTGAATGATTATATAACCATTGGCGTATTTAGGAATTCCAGGATAGGGCAACACATATTTAGCCGATCAAACATCACGCCTACAAAAATATCTTTCATTATTATTATGTTTTATTTTAACAATGTTTATATATTATAAACCATAGAACCTTACATTATATAATATATATAATGCAGTCACAAGGTAAGATCGACAGAGAAAATGTAATAAAAGGCTAAAATATACAACATATTTTCTCCGTTATGCCACGAACTCAAGATCTACAGTCTATAGGCGCTACTAAGGGGGGGGGGACAAGGGGAGCTTAGTCCCGTCATAAATATTCCACGTTTTACATGACATACCGCATACATTATATTTAACTCACAATTTTGCCACATTCAAAAAAAGACACATTGCAGTAAATCCAACTTGGCTCAGAATCTAAAATATATTAACATAGTATATAAGAGTAGGGGTAATCTATAGATTATTTTAATTTTTGAATGGAGGGCTGTAGCCCCCTCAAATTTTTACCCTAGTTGCGTCTATGGTTATATGTATAACTTACTTTACATAATTTACTAGTTTAAGTTTAAATTTTAATTATTAATGATATTTTTGATTTGTTATTGTAATTTTATTGTTAATTTTATTTATAAAATATTGCTTAATTATGTTTTCTTCCACATTTTATATAACTACACTTATTAATTTTTACTTTCTATATTTTTGTATCATGTTGTTTTTCCACATACATTTTATACATTTATATAATGCTAAATTTAAATGTTATTTTTAATAATCTTAAGTTGAAAACGTAAACACAATTACTATATTATTTTTCTAAAGGGTTTAAATACCTGTTTAATATAGTATAATAATAATAATTTAAAAAAATATATAATTTATTTCTTTAAATTTCTTATAAACAACATTTTATAAATACTATATTTTTTTGTGGATAGTTTTTAATAATTTCAATTTTTTGCATGTGCTATTAAAATTTGTTCAACGTGCCATATTTGGCACCTATGTCATTGGTTCGCCATCCCTGATTTAGAGTATCATGGATTAATTTAAGTTTTCAAGTTTCTTTTAACAATTCCTCTTACTCAAATAACGTGTGAACGATTGTTTTCTAAACTTAAAATTATAAAACATGTTTCAGAAGTTGTTTAACACAAGATAATTTGGAATCATTGTTTTTGATGAACTGTGAAAGGAAATTGTTGGCTAGCATTAGACTGGCTCAAGTAATTGACTTAATGTGCGATTAAAGTACAGAAATGTTAAGAATATTGAAGGTTTAGTTTTTAAATATTTTACTGAACTATTTGTATATTATTTCACTTGTATTGAACTATTTTTTGAGAACATAATATTCATATTTTATAATGTACATACAAAGTACAAATGGTTTACAATGTTTTACAATTTATTTTTAATTTTTTAATTTTTAATTTACAATTTATTCAAGATCACTTAAATAAAAATAATTATTTTAAAATTGTTGTGTATTTATTTATTTTTATAGAAATTAAATCAAAATGTAGATTTAGTTTATTATTTAGGTTCATGGTTATTTTATAGTTTTGTCTTAGTTATTTCTTATAAGAAATGGGTAAACAACCTGGCTATTGTTATAGGTACGTCGTTAGGTTGTATGTAAGTAAGTGGGCTCTAATTATATTCAGTTTCCCGGTAGGGCAAATGGACCCAGTACGCGCCTGGTTGTATTAAAATTAGGTTCAATAAATTGGAAAGACTACTGATTATTCAAATGATTCGTTAATGAATCATATATTGGCTATATTTGATATTTCATAATTCCTAATTTATAGAATAAATATTAAAATAAAAATCTCAATGCTTGTACTACTCAGGAGTAGGAGTTAATAACTTTATCTGTTGTCTACTCGCGTTAGAACCTCGTGTAGTAGTGACGTGTTAAGCGAGAGTGCATGTAACATTTAGTTTAATACATTGAACGATCAAATATGTTTATTACGTAGTTAAAATATAGTATTCGATTGCCAGGTGTTTATTTTGTCTCGATGCAACGTTTTTTGTAATACCAATAGGCACTCACTTACTAAAAAGTAATGAAGTCAAGTTCTATTTTAATATATTATCTAATGAATATATAAATATAAAACTCCATTCATTGCTAGAATTATAACATAATATAAACATAATACATTTCTAGGTGGTTATATATACAGTATTTTTTGTAAGCTTTTAAGTGCTGTACTGGTAAGTTTTTACTATATAAAACACTAACTATTATTATATTTTTCGGCTTTGGTTATTGTTATAGGAAAAATTTGTTTATTATTTCATTTAAATACTGTTTCAAAAAATGAGACTTTTATTAATTAAACGATACTAATTAGTTCTAATGAAAAAAATAATTTAAAAGCAATACACAATGGCGTATGTAAGGAGGATAGAGGGGGGTTCAAACCCCTCATTAAAAAATCTCAATTAATAAATAAATAGGTTATAATAAAAATAATCATTACCTAAATATAATCCTCTTTCCATAAATAATCTTTACTTATGCCCTTGGCAATACATACTTAAAATACTTATATAATTATGTTATGCCGTTGTTGTTATGTAAATAGTTTATATAATGCATTTTATTACTCCGCGAGTGTTTAGAAATATTTAGTTATTAATAGTCAAATATATGAGAAAATCTACAATTAAAAAAAAAAAAAAAAATTAAATCATTCTGATTTGTTAAATCTAAAAATAATCAAAATAAATTAAGATAAAATGTATTTATTCTAATATTATAATTATGAGAAAAATGGACGTTGTACTGTGCATTGATTTTTTTTTTTATAATAATAATAATTTATTTTTATTTTCGAGCAGCACTTGATATTCAATAACTCTTATTTTATACCACACTGTCAAAATATATAATATATTATAACACGAAAAAAAAAATCATCATTTTTGAAGAAATAAATATTTATTGAGGGCCGCGTGTTTGAGACTACTAGTTTAAAACAATATATTTAAAATAAAAATATTTTTGTAACATCCATTCTATACTTTGTTTGCTGAGAGAATGCAATTGGGCGGCGACCAAAACTCGTCTATTCTTGCGCATTTCCATCACTTTTAAGCGTTTACTCACATATCGGCAGCCATGTGGTGGGGAAAATTAGAGTTTGAGATGATAGAGCAAACTCACTGAAAAGTGGTGAAAATGGAAGTATAAATATAACATTATTGTTATAATATATCAATATAATCACTACTAAAAGGGAAGAGTGGAAAATTGCAACAAAAGATTGAATACAAAAGAAGAAGAAGAAGTAATACTAATAGAATTCAAGTAATACTTTCAAGAATAATCAGTTAAATTTTTCTAGTTTCATTGGTCAAATAATATGATTGAGGTCCACAGCCAACTGTCCAAACAGACCCAAAAACTCACCAATATTCCTTTCATAGAAATCATTGAACAGCCCGATTCCGTAAGGTATCGATATGTATGCGAAGGTAGAACTGCTGGTAATATATTCGGAGTCAATTCTTTATATGATAATAAAACATATCCAACAATAAAAGTAATGGATTTTTAAATCAGTAAGTTATTTGTCACCATAATAGTATGGATATTATGTCATTTGGTTACAGATTAATGGTTATCAAGGTAAGGTCCTAGTTATAGTATCTTGTGTTACCAAAGACAAACCATATAGACCACATCCATTTAAACTTGTGGGAGGAAAACATTGCAAAAGAGGAATTTTCAAGGCTGAAATCAATAACGAGTCAATGACTTTGAGCTTACAAAATGTTGGAATTCAATGTGTAAAAAGATCAAACGTAGATGAAGCACTCAAAGAGCGCGAGAGTCAACGAATTGATCCATTTAAGAGTAAGTTAATTATTAATGTTGGTAAAAATTCGGTTGAAAAGATAAATTAAAATTGATTACATCTATAATTTATTAAAAAAAAATGATCATTTATTCTTAGGAAATGTAATACTAAAAATTTCAGATTTCCTTTCAGAAACCTATAAACTATAATTTATAATTGTTTGTGATTTTTCTTTAATATTTATTTTAAGTGTTGAAGGAAATTTAATTTGTATGACTTTTCCTGTTCTAGTAGCGTAATATCGTATTAATCTTTCTGTTGTAATAATTAGTGGTATTTTTACCCAGAAACATGTCATATTTTATTTTAAAAATGTATGATTTAATTTTCTGTAAACAAAACACATATGCATTTAAATATATATAAATATTATTATATGTGTCTGTCCCGTTCAAATAAAACGGTTCTTAATGAGTCATTTTTAGTACCATACTAATATTATCCTATTGAATATTTTACTACTCATTATTTCAACTCAAATTCGACTAATAATAAGCAAATCTGTGTTTTTTATTTTATAAAAATAATGTATCTATGTAAAAAAAATTATAAGTAGAAAAGTAAAGTACGTTAGTTGTACCTATCTTATATTTATAATGTTTAAAAATTACTCGAATAATTTTTTATTCGAATAATTGAGTTTGACAATTTTTAGAATACATTTATTACATTTGATCTGAAATCACCTGAAAAGAGTAACAGACTACCAACGTATAGTTTGTAGTTGTTTTTTACATATTTTAGTGTCCTGTTCAAGGTCTTAAGCATTTTTTCAGCTCTGTGGCCAAGGACGATTGATTTTTAATGTTGCGCACTGCATCTGGATTATTTCCCATCACTGTTGGCATTTCTTCGACAATTGGCGTTGTTGGTCATTTGCTCTGCATGGTTTATTACGAACCAACGTGCATGTCTTTGCTCCAATCGTCGTTGTTCATTGCGTTTAGTTCGTGTCTCTTGTGCAATCGCGCCATTCTCACACGTACATTCATATTACCGGTTTGAATTTGTTCGTCTGTTATTTACTCTCTTCTATTTATCATGTTTGTAGCTACATTGAAAAAATATTAAAAAAAAACATAGAGCAATTTTTTAAATTTTTTTAACTTTATTTACATATAAATAATATTATTACTTATTACAATAACAATGTGTGATATATAAAATTTACAGATATTTTGGATTTTAGATTGGATATTAGACACTGACCGCCTATATAATAGGTATACAATTAATACATTTGGGGTGGACCACCCTTAGCTACTTAACACCTAAAGGTTTGAAAATAGTTAGGAGCTATTCACAGACCTACTAAATATACACAAAAAATAGTATGAATATCGGTCAAGCCGTTTCGGAGGAGTTCAATAACAAATACTGTGACAAGATAATTTTATTTATAAAAGATAAGATGTATAAAGTCTGGTCAAAAACAGGGTTTGGAAAAAAACAGTTTTTTCATTTTAAACAAAAAAACCGTTTTTCATTAATTCCCATTTTTTTTTTTTTTTAAACGAAATCATTTTTCTTTTTTTTCAATTGTTTTACACATGTTTTAAATATTTAATCATTTTATAATAAGAATTGTTATAATTTACTTTTAAAGGACGATGAGAAATGACACATAGAACAAAAATAATGTATGTTATTATGTTGCAATATTTATTTTCGAAGCTGGTCTTAATTTGGGATATCGAGGGAATCTATGTAATCAACACGAGATAATAGTAATCAGTATCTTACAAATGCATACATGTAATTTAAATTAGTAAATAATTAAATACTTCAAATACTACTAGTAGTTAGTTTGAATGTTGACAATTACTTGTAGTTACATATTTGTCTATCTTCTCCATACCGAAGAGAAGATTTAAAAAACATGGTATATAGCTAATGTGTAAAAAATAGGACATGCAATAAAATCCACGTTTTTATAAATTTTAATTATAATTTACCATCAATATTAATTAAAATAATCAGTGGCGTAAGAAGCCTCGCTAGAGCCCCTATAAAACTTAGAAAAATCTCTTTTTAACCAATTAAAATTTGATGTTGCGATATTTTTTTTACCTTTAATTTTAATAATTTTTTTTAAGTATACAATTTATATTTATAATTTATTATTACAGTGTTAATTTTTAACTTGGAAAATTTGCTTTTATCGCTTTATAACTAGTAAATTCGTCGATAATTTCTTCATATGAAATCTTTTATTTAAATGCTCTTGTGTTATTTTCATAATCTCATCATTAAATTACACGTAGTGTGTAAAAATAGACAACATCTATGTACTTCAAAAAAGCATATTGAAAAATGTTCGATTTGATTGTAGGATAAAAATACGAATTTCGTACAATTTTGTGCCCCTTTGCAATTCGCGCCCCTGGCGTAGGCACAGTTCGCCATACCTTTGCTATACCACTGAATATAATTAGTTGTTATTACTTATTTACAAGGCTGAAAACAAATGGAATTTGAATAATATGTGGTATTTTTTTTTAAGTACTCAAAAAATTTATTAAAAAAATATTTTTAAACATATGATGTAAAAAACATTTTAAACATTTTGTTTTATACACATAATATTTAATTTCAATTATTTAAAACATGTTTAAATCAAATGTTTTTAAACAAAATGTTTATAACTGCGAACCCAAAAATCATTGTTTTAACAAATTTATCGAAAAAATTTACAAAAAAAAAAAAAAAAATAAAACACTGAAGGTGAATGATTAAAATTGAAAATACATTTTTTTAAGGAATTCTAAATCATTATTAGCAATGAAACTTACCATGTATGTTTTCCTTCCAATTATACTTCTATTAATTTTTGGAAAACTGTTACGAAAACAAATATAATATTGAGATCCGTAGTTAATTTTCAATCCTAATATATATATATATGTTACGGTTAAAGTACGAATACCGGTTAAACCT